GTGCCCTGAATCAGCAGACGATGAAGGATAAGTTCCCGATACCCATCGTCGAGGAGCTGCTCAATGAACTCCATGGCGCGCACTTCTTCACCAAGCATGATTTGTGCTCCGGGTACCACCAAGCAAGTGCGGGTGCATGCTGAAGACGTCGAGAAAACAGCGTTCCGCACCCATGAACGCCACTTCGAGTTCTTGGTGTTGCCCTTCAGGCTCACAAACATGCCAGCTACCTTCCAAAGCTTGATGAACATCGTGCTCTGGCTCTTTCTCTGTAAGTTTGTTTTGGTGTTTTTCGATGGCATCCTCATATACAGCCCGTCGTGGTCATCCCATCTTCAACACGTCAATGTCGTCCTCACCGCCCTCCGCGAATGCCATCTTTGGCTCAAGCGCTCCAAATGCTCCTTCGTGCAACCGTCGGTCGCATACCTCGGCCATGTGATCTCAGCCGCGGGCGTTGCCATGGATCGTGCGAAGGTTGAGGCGGTCTCTAGATGGCCGCAGCTGCATTTGGTTCATGGCTTCCTGGGACTAGCAGTGTATTACTGCTGGTTCATCAAGGACTACGACGCCATCGCCGCCCCCTCACCAAGCTGCTCAAGAAGGAGGGGTTCGCCTGGACTCCTAAGGCGACGACGGCGTTCGACGGCCTCAAACGGGCCCTCTCCACCGCGCTGGTACTCCAGCTACCAGACTTTGACCGGCCCTTTACAGTGGATTGCGATGCGTCAGGCTCCGAGTTCGGTGCCATACTTCATCAAGGCACGGCGCCCTCACCTTTTTCAGCCGCCCATTCATGGCGCAGCACCTCAAGCTCGCGGCGTACGAACGCAAACTGATTGGGCTTGTCTAGGCCATCCTCCACTGGCGTCCCTATCTATGGGGCCGCCACTTCATCATCAGGACCGATCACTACGCCTTGAAGTTCATGCTCGATCAATGTTTATCCACGGTGCCGCAGCATCAGTGAGTGAGCAAGCTTTTTGGATACGACTTCAACGTCGAGTACCGGCTGGGCCGCCTCAACACCGTGGTAGATGCCCTATCCCGGTGCAGCGACGATGATGCTGACGCGCTGCTGCACACCCTCACTGCGCCGTCCTTCAAGTTCTTCGATGATCTGTGCCACGAATTCCAAGATGATGATGAGCTGCGCACCTTCCGCAACTCAGTGGTCACGTGGAAACCGAGTGTTCGTGCTGGCTAGCTCGGCGTCCCTCCCGACCGTCGTCCAGGTCACCCACTCATCTGGCCATGAGGGCACGTAGAAGACCTTAAGACTCCTCCGGCAGGACTTCTTCGTCGAGCATGACCGCCGGTTGGTGCGTGAGTTCGTCAGCTCATGCCTGACATGCCAACGGAACAAGACGGAGAACCTCCACCCCGTTGGCCTCCTGCAGCCCCTTGAGGTGCCCACACAGGTTTGGTCCGACATTGCTATGGACTTCATCGACAGCCTCCTGCGGGTACACGGCAAGAGCGTCATATTAACGGTGGTTGATCGGTTCTCCAAATACGCTCATTACCTCGCCCTGAGTCACCCTACACCGATGCCACCATCGCCAAAGCCTTCTTCGATGGCATCGTCAAGCTTCATGGTTTCCCCGGCTCTATTGTTAGTGACCAAGATCTAGTGTTTACTGGGCATGTATGACGGGACATGTTCAAGATGGCTGGTGTCAAATTGCGGATGAGCACAGCGTTTCACCCCCAAACCGACGGCCAATCTAAGGTGGTGAACCGGACCATCGCTATGTACTTGACGTGCATTACTGGTGATCGTCCCCGCACATGGCTCAACTGTGTACTAATAAATTATTATGGTTTGTACTGATTTCTTTAGTTAATACTGTTGCTGCCGTGGGCCGAGTAATGCTACAACACTTACTACCACTCCGCACTCTGGACGACGTCTTTTGAGGTAGTGTATGGCCAGCCACAGCTCGCCTTGCTGCCCTATTCTGTTGGGACAGCGTGCACCGACACCGTCGACGGCATGCTCCGTGATCGCGACGCTCAATTGTCCACTATACTCTAAAAAAGAAGCCTGATAGTACCTGAAAGCCAGTTAGTCTAATTTGCTTCATCTGCTGGCAGTTCATCATCACGCATGTCAAAAGTATCTCGTGGCTTAACTCTTACAACAGCATTCCATCCTTCAGCTTTTGGGTCTTCAACATAAAAGACTTGCTCCACTTGTGAAGAGAAGACAAAGGGATCATGCTCCAGTTTTTCCCCGGTGTGTATTTTCTGAGAAAAATTCACATGTGTTAATCCAAACTCATCTTTTCGTAAACCAGCACGGTGATGGACATCATACCAATCACATTTGAAAAGAACTACCTTGTAGTCGGTGTATGTCAGTTCTATTATATCTGATAATCTGCCATAATAGTTAACCTCATCTTATGCAATGTTCACTACACCACAATTTTGTGTCGACCTTGCAGCCTCATGACTCAGTGTGTGGAACCTGAAACCATTAATAATATAACTGCTGTATCTCACACCGTGTCTACTCGGTTTTGCATCCAAAGCTCGGACCTTTTTAGTGATTCCTAGTCCATCACCTAGGATAACCTGCATTGAAGAATTTTATTAGATCAATTCATTCTATTAAACTCATGGCCCAATAAGTGATTTCATCTGTACTGCACCTTTTGTTCCAACCGGTCAGGAAAGTGTTTGGTCTATCAACTTCTGGATGGAAGCCAGAGTCAAAGTAGTTAAAGGACACAATTTTCCTATCTCCTCATCCACAAATTCTCTACAACAATGGGGTTATTCTTTATACAGTGTCATGGATTCAACTTACTAAAACTTAAAAATCGAGGCAGGGGGGACTATATTACACACTTGCGGAATTCTTCAAGATCATCGCAGTGTCGCAACACGTATCGATGTGCCTGAACAAGAAGCTGGCTATCAAATTGGCTTACAGTAGTAGCCTTTCCAATTGGTTCTCCAGCACTCAAACAAGTACACGTCTTTCATATTGTCTGAAGGTTCAGGGTTTCTAGCTGGTCTGGTAAAACGAGTATTTCCATCAAGAAATCTGGAACAGAAGGTCATGCACTCATCCATGCAATATCCTTTAGCAATCGAACCTTCTAGGTGAGCTCTATTCTTCACAAGTGCTTTAAGCCAAACAAAAAATCTAAATGAAATCATGAACACATATTAGTTGAACGAATTATTGACAATAACACTGCAATATGTAATTACATACCTCTCCATGGGGTACATTACACCGGTAGTGAACATGGCCACCAAGTTTAACTTCTTCTACCAAGTGCACCATCAAGTGCACTGTCACAGTAAAAAATGATGGCAGGAAAATTCTCTCCATATTACACAGTGTTACCACAATACTCTCTTGAAGGTTTTGTAGCTCATCAGCATCTATCACCTTGGAGCATAACTTCTTAAAGAAATTAGATATTCCAATAACTATTTCCATGATATCTTTGCTGGGGTAACAGGATCGGAGTGCCACTGGAAGGATGTCATGTAGTAAAACATGATAGTCGTGACTTTTTAGTCCACTCAATGTACAATCATTCATGTTAACACACCTAGAAATGTTTGATGCATAGCCATCAGGTGTTCTCAGGTTTTGGATTACCGAACAGAGAACATCCTTTTTTCTCTAGACATGGTAAAAGGTGCATTAGGCATAGTTTGCTTTCCTTCATTATCTACCACAGGATGAAGATTGTGTCGAATTCCAAGTTCCACTAAATCTAGTCGTCTTTAAGACCATCCTTTGATTTGGAAGGAATATCCAATAAAGTTCCAATTAAGTTTTCACACAGATTTTTCTCTAAGTGCATCACATCTAGATTGTGCCTTAGTTTGTTCTTTTCCCAGTATGGTAGCTCAAAGAATATTGACCGCTTTTTCAACCAATCTTCTGGCTTCTTCTCCTTATTCTTGCCACTGTTCCCATCTTTCTGTTTCTTTTGTCCTCTTTTACGCTTGGATTTCAGATGGCTTTCATCTTGCTTTCCTTTCTTTTTTTCCTTTGTTATTGTCCTTTTTATTCTTTGTTGTGCGGTCCTTTTTCTCTAAAGCAAAAACTCTGCCTTCTAACATTCTCAAAATAGAAGTATCACTCATTGTTTCAGGTGCAAGTCGAACCTCTGTCGTGCCATCAAACTGGTTCTTTTGCCTTCGATATATGTGGTTCTGTGGGAGCCATCTACGATGTCCCATATAGCACATCTTTTTACCATTCTTCAGGTGAAATGATTTTGTTGCCGCACCACATGATGGCCATGCATATTTACCACCTGTGCTCCAGCCATACAGGTAAGCTAGTGTAGGAAAATCATTTATAGTCCACAATAGTGCAGCTCGGAGAGGAAATTTCTTTCGAGAAGAGGCATCACATGTTTGCACTCCTTTCCACAATTCTAAGAGCTCATCGATCAAGGGCTGCAAGTATATATCAACATCATTCCCTGGAGAATCTGGTCCTGGAATGATCATCGATAACAGTAAAGATGTTTGCTTCATGCAGATCCAAGGTGGCAAGTTGTAAGGAACCAGCATTATAGGCCATGTATTGTGCTTTGAACTCATATTCCGAAAAGGGTTAAATTCATCACTTGCAAGACCAAGGCGTACATTACGAGCATCTGCTGCAAAATCAGGATTTCTACGATTAAAATCTTCCCAAGCTTCACCATCTGCTGGATGTCGCAGTTTTCTGTCTTTTGTACGTCCAATATCATGCCATCGCATGTCTTCTGAAGTTTTGGTAGTTGAAAATAACCTTTGGATCCTTGGTATCAATGGAAAATAACGCAACACTTTTGCTGGTTTCTTTTTCTTCTTAGGTTTAGCTGCAGAACCAATCTTCTTAGCATCTTTCCAACGAGAGCTCTCGCACACATCACAAAAATCTTTCTTAGCTGCATCTCCTCGGAAAAGCATGCAATCTTTGGGGCAAGCATGTATTTTCACATAGTCAAGGCCTAAAGCACGGATGATTCTCTTCACTTGAGATAATATGTCTTAGGTAGGTCTGCCTCAGGAGGATATGAATCAGCTAGCACACCCAGAAGTGTTGTAAATGATTCTTGTGTCCAGCCATTTAAGCACTTTAAGTGATATAAGTTGACCAAAAATGACAACTTAGAAAATTTACACCCAGGATATAAGCTTGTGTGTGCATCCTTCAAGTATCTTTCATACAGATTCTGTTCACTCCCCTTAGCATTGTCATCTGCAGGATGCTCATCCTCAGCTACAGAATGTTCCATATCTGCAAATCCTGATTCAACATCATCTACTTCACCTTCAGACATACTTGGTACTGACTCGAACATTTCAGCCCTGCAAAAGGCAGCTTGAAGTAGTTCTTGCATGACATCTTGTACTGCAGCAGCCCTTGGGACACCCGAAGTAGCCAAATTTGTAGTGTTATTTGGAACGTCAACAAATGCTAATGGTGGACTGTCATACATTTCTCCATGATGAACCCAGGTCGTGTAACCTTGAATAATACCATCACATCTCAAATGTGTCCTGACTTCATCATGACTCTGGTTTAATCTGTTTTTGCATTTTTTGCAAGGACAAAGTATCTCGCTATCACATGGAATGTCGCGGTAAGCAAAATTAAAAAATTGCTCAACACCATCTTGATATGCAGTATCCTGTCTTGGCTTACTCATCCAACTTCGATCCATCACCCTTTGACAAGAATAAAAATGAAATGAAATCAATCAGTGTTTTTCTTTTGCAATACATATAGATATCTGAGGACGAATAATAGTACTAGATTTGCACCAACAAAATCATATCAACAATCTTTTAGGTACATAATAAACCATAAACCTATTCTATGCACGCATGGTACTGGATAGAATCTTAATTTGAGCTGTAAGCTTGGCTTGAAATTTACATTTGTCTGTAAATCAAGAATATGACAATACAATAATTAGATGACACCACAATTGGATCTGCTCCATTTTCATTTCTTCTTCAACGGATCAATCTTGGATAGGAAAAATCATATATCTATATCTAAATTTAGCCTCCTGGTTTTAGTTCGCCTTGAAGCCCTCTTCTAAATTCAACCAACACACTGAGAAAACTATAGTTGCAATATATATGCAAACTCAATTCTATAAATAAATAAATAAGATCATCCCAAAACATCAGTTATCTGCATACGAGCATATTAATTAAAATCCTCCTTGCAGCCCATTGCTAGCAGTCAATTGGCATAACAAAAATATTTTATCCTCGTATCATTGAATCCTGAATGGAACTCATATACTAAATTGCTAACAACATACAGTGCCACCTAGCCATCTCTAGTTTTCTGCAGTTCCAGGATTATAGAAGCTGCAGAATTGATCAACTTCACCAGTGGACTGTAGACCAGAATAATATACAATGACAATGACTCACTGGTTATTGACATTCGTTGCATTTCCGAAATCCAACACAGAACAAACAGAGTACTGCCCCGGATCTCACCTGTTAGCTTGTCCAGACGACTTGTAGAGCAGAGCAGCGGCAAGGAGCAGGACGGGGCAACGAGCTGTAGTCTAAACTCTGCTGAACAGCAGAACTGCAGATGCCACGGGCCACGATGGTCGCCGCCTCACCGGTTCGTGGCGCCCTGCGGTGGCCGGTGGATCTGCTAGCTGCTGCTACCTGCCGCAGTGCCGCTGAGGGGCCGAGGGACAATCTCCACCAGGCTGCTAGGCTGCACGCAAAATATATTAATAATAAAAAAGTTTTAAATAATTACTCAAAATCCACCGTCTTTTTTGTGCGACTAAAAAGAATAAAACGTGGATATTTTTTTTGTGCGACGTTTGTTTTGGTTCGTCCGTCCGCCCCACGCCTGCAATCCCGCACCCGTCGCTCCCTCGGTCTGCCTTCCCCTGCGATCACCGCGAGTGCACGCCGCACAAAAGGAAACCGCTCCTGTGATTCCTCCGTCCGCCTCCCCATCGTCGCCCACCCACAGCTGGTCGCGCCGCCACCGCACCCGCCCGCAGCTCGCCGCGGCGCAGCCCGCGCCCGCCCGGAGCTGGCCGTGACGCCGGCCACGCCCACCCTCCTTGCGAGTCCAAAGCTCCCCACGTCGGCACGGCCCCGCGGCTGGATCCAGATCGGAGGTACTCCCCACTTTCCCCGCTTCTTCTTTGCGTCACAAGCGACCCCGGACCCCTCGCCGGATTGGATCTCGCGCTTTGTCGGTGCCGGTGCCGGAGCCGGAGATGATGTCGTCATCGTCGGATGCGGCCGTGGCGCTGGAGCTGCAGGAGTCCGAGTGGGAGGAGCTGCAGTGTGAGGCGCGCAAGCTGGAGGGCGACCTCGACGTGAAGCTCTCCTCCTACGCACGCCTCGCCCGCGACGAGCTGGACGCCCTGGCTGTCGGGTTCCGCCACCTGGTCACACGCACCGGCGTCGTCGCCACGCTTGGCACCGGCCGCCCACCCATTGTCGCGCTCCGGGCCGACATGGACGCGCTGCCCATCCAGGTACGCAAAATTTGTTTCACAATTTTTGGGCATCTACAAGATTTTATATTAATTAAAGAAAACTGGCTCTCGAATAAAAATATAAAGCTATTTCTAATTCTTTATGAAAAAGAGAAACCGAACTGGACCAGCACGGCCCATGGCGGGGAACCCGCGCGTGCACTGGCATTTTAGCAGAAAAGACCCCGCGCTTCCTGCTATTAACGCGACCACTATGCGCCCTATTCCTTTAGTCAGCGATTATGCGCGAAGGCCCACGAAAAGACTCATCTTCGCATCGGGGAGGTCCCTGAAGCCCTCGCGCTCACTGGTGATAGATGTAGAGGGTGAGGATCAACGACTCACCAAGGACCTGGCCGAGGCGATGGTTCGGCTGGAGACGCTCCGAGCAAGGCTGGCCGTGTATGCGATGCGAGCTCGGCGACGAGCCACGGCGGACGCGACCACGTCAATAGCGTTGGGACAGCGGTAGAGGTACGGCTCAGGTGCGCATGGTGAGGAGGGGTTCGAGGCAAGTCTAGCGGTGTAGCCAATTTGGCCCGAGGTGGTTAGATGGGAGCTGCCCTCGGTGATGGGTAGACTAGGCCTTATCGGCACGGTGGCAGGAAAAAGCTCTAAAATTGAAGCTAGGCCAGGCACCATTCAAGGCAGGGTGGGGAATGGTCGGCTAGGCGTCTTGACGGTGGTGCCAGAGACGCAACAAAATGACCCGAGGTGACCTCTCCCTACCGTATTTACTTTCATGGCTCAGTCAGCCATGGTGGGAGAGAGAAGAGGGGGAAACTGGAGCTCGACGTGACCTCGTCTTAGTGGGATGCGGCCGATGTGACCAGGGAAACACGCGCGCTGACGCTATGGACAACACACATGCGTCTTTGACCGAGCACTGCCTGCGTGGCCATAGCGCCATAAATGGCAAGGTGACGGTGCGGGTAGTTGGGGAGGGGGCAAGCCCTCGTGCGCACAGCAAGGAACCAAGCAACAGCACAGTGTAGTACCAGCAGCAGATGCATCACAACAGAGTGGTAGGGATAGCGGAGCAGCGTCGGGGCATCCTGCAATGCAGCGCGGTGAGCGGCGTCTAGGGCGCATGGCCCATGGTGGAAGCAGCACTGCACGGCCAGGGCAGGCGGCCAACCATGGACGGCCACACCCAGCCATGGCCAATCCAGGAGTAGGCCCAGCCAGCATGGCCTTGGCAACATGCGCGATGCCGAGCTACGGAAGAGGCGGTGATTGCAGCCCCCTGCCACATAGCCCGAGGCCATTCACGTGCATGAATTTTAAAGCATCAACCATGACTAAACCAACTCGATTGAGTCACAACCACCTAGACCATACCAAAGAGGGTACATTGGACTACCATTAGGAGCAATAACATAGCACTGGCCTTTAGCTACTTTTTTTAGAATTAATTCCCCAACATGGCACTGCCATTCTGTTTTTAGACTTAGGAAATTTGCTAAGTCTAGGGCTGATTTTTATTTCAACTTCAATTTCCAAGCTACTAAAAATACTAGCCAATAATTTTATTTTTCTACAGCAAGAGTTGCATTGTTATCTACAAAGTTTGTACTTTAAACTTTATTTAAGTGACACAAGTATGTTTTATAATGTTTTTGCCTAATAAAAATCGGTTTTGAATGTCACTTGATACAACATGAACTATTGGATCAACTTTAACACTTTTATCAACCATTTTAGGTTACAAGCAATTCATCTACACTCTTTATCACATGCAATGTCACATAAACATGATGCTCATGACATGATTTAGCAGGTTGTTTAGGGTGTAACACCGAGGGTGTTACATTTTGAGGGCAAGCAAGAGTAGTGAGGCTCTTTAGTTAGTCTTTGAGAGCACACTAATTTTGTGTAGTGACATAGCCTTTGAGGTCTTATATATAATAGCAACTAGAATTGTGGTAGGTGGCTTGCATTCTTAGTAGGCTAGCGCAACATTCACTTCGCCTCATATTAGTCTAACCGCTTTGCATAGTATTGTTGTAGAATTTTTTATAGGCTATTCACCCCCCTCTAGCCATTAGGACCTTTCAAGTGGTATCAGAGCCGAGGTCACCGTGATTTGAGGCTTAACAACCTTCAGTGTCAAAATGGCTCAAATCAACAACACCAAGAAGCCGCCCAATTTGATGGCACAAACTATCTATATTGGAAGTCAAAGATGACCACTCATATCAAGTCAATCAATAGAAGTGTGTGGAAGGTGGTGGATACCAAAATTGAGATAGCCGATCCAGAGAATCCCACCGCGGCCGAAGAAGTGCTTCTCCAAAACAATGACATTACTCTTTGTGCTATTCCAGATGCTATTGATGAGATAACGTTTGAGTAAATCAAGAACATTGAGATGGCTCATGAAGCATGGAAGAAGTTGGAACAATCATTTGAGAGCACCAAGGCAATAAAGGGTGCAAAGGCATACATTCTCAAGGAGAAATTTGCTAGCTTCAAGATGAAGGAAGATGAGAGTGTGCCGGACATGTTTCATCAAATGGAAGTGCTTGTCAATGATCTTAAAGCACTTTGGTGAGAAGGTGGAGGACAAGGACTTCTCCCATAAGTTCATGAGATGCTTATCCGCAAGATTTGGCATGTTGGACACCTAGCTAGTGAGGATCGGTTTGGACACAATGACACCAAACCAAATCTTGGGAGATATCATGACGATGATGCTTATAGAGATGATGATGAGAAGGAAGAAAAGAACAAAGAGAAGAAGGATGAGAAGAATAAGAGTGTGGCATTCAAAGGCGGTTCGTCCTCCAAGGGCAAGGCCAAGCAAGATACATCAAGTGAAGATGATGGTTCAAGGGATGATGATGGTGATGATGATGAGAAGTTGGCTCTCTTTGTCAAGAGATTTGGCAAGTTCATGGTGAAGAAGGGCTATTGTGCTAGAAGGAAGAAGTCTTCATCCAAGAACAAGAAAGAATCAAGAAGGTGCTTCAAGTGTGGAAGCAAGGATCATCTTGTTGCTCAATGCCCATACAATAGCGACAATGATGATGATGACAAGAAGAGCAAGAAGAAGGACAAGAAGGAAAAGAAAGAAAAGAAGGACAAGATGACCTTCAAGAAGAAGAAGAAGGGTGGTTCATATGTGGTCACTTGGGATAGTGATGCTTCCTCAGGTGATGATGATGAAAGTGATGATGACAAGACCACCAAGAAGAAGGCTCTTGCAAGCATTGCCATAAATGAGAAGCCTTCTCTCTTCGACACTCCATCATGCTTCATGGCTAAGGCCACTAAGGTACAAACTTGTGATGATGGATGTGATGAGGAACGTGATAATGAGAGTGAAAGTGACAATGATGATGAACCCACTAAAAATGAACTAATTGACATGTTAGAAGATGCTAAAGAACATTTTGACATTAAGAGAAGGGAATGCAAAGACTTGCGAAAGGAACTAAAAGCCCTTAAGCATGCCTTTGAGGAGCTCAATGCATCTCATGAGAGGATAGAGGAAGCCCATAAGAAGCTTGTCAAGGCTCACAAGAAGTTTGAAAAAGCACATTCTTCTCTACTTAATGAGCAAAATGAGAAGGAGCATGTTGTAAAATGTGACAAAGGCTTAACTTGTGATATAATTGATAAATCATTCTATAAGCCTATCATTGTTGCTCCCACTAACCCTTCTTGTAGCACATCCACTTCTAGCTCATCTAGTAGTGATGGTTTCACTTGTGATGCCTCACTAATGGTTGAGAATAAGACACTCAAGAAGGAGGTAAAAGAGCTCAATCACACCTTGGCTAAGGCCTATGGTGGTGAGGACCGCTTGCTTATGTGCTTGGATAGCCAAAGAGCTTCTCTCTACAAAGAGGGATTAGGCTATACCCCCAAGAAAGGCAAGGTGGCCTTTGCTCCTCACAAGACTAGTTTTGTGAAGAACAATCGTCGATTTTGCACTAGTTGCAAGTAAGTTGGTCATGTAGAGCTAAAGTGCATGACAAAGAAGTCTCATGCCAATGTATTCTCAATTAAGCTTGATTCTTTCTTTGTACTTACTAAGGGTACTAATGGTGTAAAGGCTAAGTTCATTGGTGCACCATGGATGGGCTCAAAGAAGAAAGCCATTTGGGTGCCAAAGAGCTTAGTAACTAACCTTCAAGGACCCAAGTAAGTTTGGGTACCTAAAAATAATTGATCTTCTTTTGTAGGTAAATTACAAAGCCGGAGGAAGGCATTGGGTTCTTTATAGTGGGTGCACTGAACACATGATCGGTGATGGAAGAATGTTCAACTCAATCAATACCAATGGCAATGATGGTTATGATAGTATCACATTAGGTGACAATGACAAAGGCAAGGTCAAAGGGCTTGGTAAGATTGCAATATCCAATGACATGAGCATTTCCAATGTGTTGCTAGTTGAGAGTTTGAACTTCAGTTTGCTATCCATGGCTCAATTGTGTGATCTTGGATTCAAATGCATATTTGGGGTAGATGATGTAGAGATCATAAGTGTAGATGGCTCTAACTTGATCTTCAAAGGCTTTAGATATGAGAATCTATACTTGGTTGATTTCAATGCTAGTGAAGCTAGATTGTCAACATGCTTGTTCACTAAGTCTAGTATGGGTTGGTTATAGCATAGAAGGCTTGGTCATGTTGGAATGAAACAATTGAATAGATTGGTTAAGCATGACTTGGTTAGAGGTTTGAAAGATGTGGTGTTTGAGAAGGATAAGCTTTGTAGCTCTTATCAAGCCAGAAAAC